GTAACAAATCAAATCAAAAAATAAAATCGGGAAAAACACCCTGCAAAGTCATGCTATTGCTACTATTGGGCGGGGGCCGGGGCCACGACCCACGGGCACGCGGCACCGCTCCTGCACGCGGCCAAACCTGCGGCGCGCCTGTGCGTGCTTTCGAAAGGCTCCAGGACCCAGGGCCAGGCTCGTCTCCCGGGTGTGTGCTGCGAGCCTTCGCAGCCATAACAGTAAAAATCAGTATTTCGTGTTATTTCGTCATGTGGCTGGGCATTTTGGTAGTTGGCGCCGCTGTCGCAGGGCAATAGTTTCTTTGTGACCCCTTCTTACCTATTTCGTGGTACTGTGATTGCCGGAGGAGTTTTAGCTGGACTTGGTCATTACTATCGACTCTCTAAAGCCCAAAAAATCGTAAAAGACAGCAAAGCAACGCAATAATGCCCGTCCGTGCATCATGTTTTGTGAGTACAAGTAAGGGCAGCGTTGCATGAACGCATGTAAAAACGGAAAGCAATTCAATGTGGTGTGGATGTGCATAGTGCTTAAATTGGTCCACAGCACTTAGCGTGGGTCTTTTAACGAGCCCACGCCACTACACAGGCAGCTGCTTCCGCCGGTGATGATCAGCTGCACGCACTACGCAGGCACAAACGTCACTGCAGTTGTACAAGCGAAATTTTCACCATCCATCTGATGCAACCATCACATCTCCTGTCGCATTCTCTATCTGTGTGCAGAATGAAGCAGATTGTGGGTGACGGAGTTGACTCATTGACATTGAAACGATGACAATGGAGCACTTCGCAAAGGCATGCGGCCATGTTGCTCCACGAAACAAACTAGTTGATGATTTGATCTTAAATCCTCGCGCAAAAAACGACGGCGGATCTGAAAGTTGATCTGGCGATGGAGACTGAGCACTATGAGGGGGAGCGACCGGCTCCATTCAAGCTTGAGGTGAGTATCACATGATGCTGCAGATTCAGTGAAGTCTCGCACTGCATGTGGAGCAGCGCCACATGTCAGCTGCTCGCTCCGAAGTGTGTTTCAGCGCGTGGTGCTGCTGCCGCTGTTGCAGGTGTCGCGGCGGATGCTGCTGCTGCAGCAGCAGCTCATCCCACAAATACAGTGGCCAATGGATAGCTGAATATCATGGGGGGTTTTGCCAGCGGTGTTTCAGCACCCTCTACTCAATGGTTTCGCCCTGCCTTCGCCATGTGTCCCCACCATACCGCATGCCCTTCCTCCTCCCATACCCTGCAGCGCTTTTTTGGCAAGTACGAGTTCAACGCGCCGCATCTCCTGTGCTGCAGCGACTGCGAGCCCCTCACGATGCGAGAGCTGCTAGAGCTTGCTGATGAGGGGGCACGCCAGAGGTAGGCATTGGTTTGAGGGAGGCAATGAGGCACAGCAAGAGGGGAGTGGTGGTGCTGCTGGTTTTGAGGGGTTTGGTCATCTAGCAGGACAAAATCAATGCTCAGGTCAGGGGTTGGATCAGAAGCAATTACGTGTGCGGTGTGTGCGTGTGGGGGGGGTCTACACACAATTAGTGGGTCATCAATGGTTGGGGCTGCGGTGCGGGAGAGATGGCTGGGGATAAAGGCACTCCACAGGGCAGACTGGCGCGGTACTTGGTCGGGTTAGGCCCAGAGATGTGCGCCGCGGCCACAAGCGTGCCACGCCCTCACGTCACTGCAGCCGAGCAGCTGAGCCAAACCCCGCCGGCTGCTCTGACGTGCACCCAAGGCACGCCTCTCACCGCACGCCAACCGGCCGTTTTCGTCGCCGTCGCCCGCCTCGCCTCGCCGCGCCCCGTGTAGGTGGGAGGGCCTGCGGCTGTCATACACAGAGACCACAGGCCTGGCGCCCCTGAGGGAGGCGATCGCGGATCTGTATGGCGGCGCGATCTCGCCTGAGCAGCTGTTGGTCTGCGCACCCGAGGAAGGTGAGCAGACAATTAGTTGCTGAGCTGTACAAGAGGCCGCAGGGATGTGGTCCCACGGGTCGCCCTGGGAGATCCTTGCAAATTCGCCCACTGGTGCTGCTGCTGCTGGCTAACGGCAACTTGGCTGGTGGCAGGGGGGTTTGTCAAATGGCCAGCGTGTCGTTGGGGGGTTGATGATCAATCGCCCTGCGACGACGCGCAGCGCTGCAGCAGCCCTGCTGGGCGCCCGCGAGGTGCCTGCACAATCAAAGGTGGCCGCGGCTCTCCGCTGGCTGCGGGCCCTGCGGCGAGCGCGCAGCTGCCCGCCTGAAACGTGCCTCCATGCCAGCGCTGCTACTCAAACAAGCTGCGGGGGGCTGAGGTTTGGGGGCTGCCTGGCGGCTGGCTTGCTGAACGCTTTGCTGTCCAATGCAGGGGTGTACCTGACGATGCAGGCGCTACTGAAGCCAGGAGACCGGGTGGTGAGCAGCGGCGCCGCAGGAGCCGCGGCTGTGTGTTCGTGTCCATGTGTGGGTGGGGGGAGGGTGGGCGGGTGGCGGTCGGGGAAGAAGGGGAGGCAAGGCTGTCGGGTGCATTGCTCGCACGAAGCGTAACCAAGCAGCAATCCACACCAGGGCACCTCCCACTTCTCCTGCCCGTACTTCCCATCATCACCACAATTGCCCCAGGTCTGTGCCTACCCCGCCTACCAGTCCCTCTACGAGCTCGCCCTCTCCAGGGGCTGCACCCTCGACTTCTGGGAGCCCTCCTGGGACGCAGCTGCCGGGAAGCTGCGCTTCGACCCCTCGCGCCTCGAGGAGCTGGTGTCGGGCGGCGGCGGCGCTGGCGGCGGCGACAGCGCCATGAGCGACGGCGGCGGGGCGGCGGAAGTCGGGGAGGCGGTGAAGCGGCCGAGGCTGGTGGTGGTGAATTGGCCGCACAACCCGACGGGCGCGACGCTGAGCCGGGCCGATCAGGGCCGAGTTGTCGAGGCGTGCAGGGCGGCGGGCTCCTATCTCTTCAGCGACGAGATGTACTGGCGGTCGGGTGGGGGC